GGGGGGGGGCCCTTCAGTCATAGCCAACCAGTCACTGTTTATACCTAGGGTAGCTTTTGCAGTATTTATTTCATTAAATACTTAGCAGTTTTGAGAGGCAGTGACTGGCAATAATATGGTGAGTTTCTAGCATGTTATGGATGCTTAATAAATGGTAAAATAAAAAAATCATGCATGATGAGAAACAGCAGTCAGTAACTATTACTCTCTAAAATATTTTAAAGCCTTAGTATAAACTATTTAACAAAGCATAAAAAGCAAACATAGCGCATTGTTACAGTAACAAAGGAATATTTATATTCACTAAAAAGTTCAGCTAGGTAATTTCCACTTAAATCCCTTAGGGGATTGAGAAAATGTATGGGAAAAGTTGGTAGAGCCTGGATTAAAAAAACAAAAACTTAAAGAAAAATCATGTAGACCTCTGCTGACGACAAACTGGATGGCTACATCACGTACAAGGCGGGGCGCTCCAAGTGCTTTCAAAATGCCTTCTAATCCAGCATCAGTAGCAAAGTCCTCCACATTTTTAACCGTTTCAAGCTTTGAAGGACTTGGTTTTGGAAGAGGGGAAACCCAGGTGCTGTGTGCGACACCTCCAGATGTCTGCCTTTACACAGTGACCCCGGGAAAGCAAACGGTTTTCTACCCCAAGAGGATGTTCTTTATTTACATCTAACTAAACCCGGGGAAACCAGGCTAGGCTTGGAAACCCTGACCGCTGCGTTTCGGGATCCTGAGCAGTCTTAGGCGGCTAGAGAACTCGGTGGCGAGGGCTGAGGACCTCGCACGGTAAGTTTGGGGAAGGAAGCGAGAAAAAAAATAGAACTGCTCCTTTAAGAACTTCCTTTCCCTTTTACTCTATGTTTACATAACACGGGGGCCCCGGCTCCGCGGGGCCCGAGGGGGCGGGGAGTGGGCGCGGACAGCCCCACGCACCGGGGAGGGGCGCCGCGCGGGCGGGGGCTCCGCGGAGGGCTGCACTGCCCCCACCTGCCCGCGCGCCCGCCGGGCGGCTCCGCGGTCCTGCCCCCGCCCCTCCCGGCCCGCTGCCCCCGCCCCTCCGCTCCCTCCCTGCTTCCCTCCTCCCGCGGGGCTTCGGCGGTGGCGGCGGTGGCGGCGGAGGCGGCGGAGGCGGCGCTCGGTGCGGGCAGGTCGCTCTGCTGCCTGGTCCCATTTGTTGCCGAGTCCGGCTCGGGGCGGCCGTGGCGCGCGGTGCTCGGGAGAGCCCGGCGGGGCAGCCGCGCAGCCACGACGGAGCAGCCGCGGGACTGGCCGCCCCGCGCCCCCTTCGCCGCCGTGCCCTTCCCCGGCGCGCTCACCCCCTTCTCGGGATGGGATTGTAGTGGAGGCGCGGACTCGGCGGGTATCGCGGCGGAGGCGGCGGCGGCGGCGGCCGAGCGGGGCTCCATGTTTTCCCCCGGCCAGGAAGAGCACTGCGCCCCCAACAAGGAACCGGTGAAATATGGAGAGCTGGTGGTGCTGGGGTGAGTCCAGGGATCCCCGATCCCGGGGAACTCCGGGCGGGCTGCGAGCGCTCCGGGCTGGGTGGCCGCCGCGTGCCCGCATCCCAGAGCCGGGCCAGGGGATGGCTCGGGCCTCTTTGGGGACTGTCGGAGCGTTTGGGGAGGCGGGGGCGACTCGGAGGGCCAGAACGCGGGCGCGGGGGCGCGGGCCCCCCCATCAGCGCCGAGGCGCTGCGAAGGACGGCGGCGGCGGAGGAAGTGGCGGAGCGGGCCGGCCCCGGGGCGGCGGCGGCGGGGACTGGGGCGAGCGCTGTGCCCTCGGACCAAGTCCAGGTCTCTTCCGAGAGGGGCAGGGGCTTGACTTCACCCCGCTCCCCGAGCGGGGGAGGGCGGGCACGGGCCGGGCTGGGCGCCACTGTCACAGGCACCTCGCGGTGTCGGAGGAGACCCCCTACTTGGCGAAGCTGAGAGGCCAGCGGAGCCCGGCCCCCGAGCCGTCTGTCCCCGCGGACTGTGACCCCCGGGCCCCGGAACTCCGCGCAGGGCGCTGCGGGCTCGGCCGCCGCGGCAGTGGGATCTGCGCGGCGGCGTCCGCGGGCAGCGCTTCGCACATTGTTATGGTGACCGCCGCGGGCCGCTGCAGTCTGGGCTGTGAACTGTCTTTGAACCGCGCGTGCTGGCCGGCGCTCGGCTCTCCCAGCCCGCAGCGTCCCGGAGCGGGCAGGACGCGCTGTGCCTGCCCGGCCACGGGCGCTCAGCCGCATCGCCTCCGTCCCGGGCCGCGGCCTCGCACACGTCCTCCGGCGGCGGGGAGCTCTCCTGCCTCGCCCACCCCGATTCCCTCTCCGCCTGTGAAAACCACAGTTTGAAGATAGTAATTATCTACAATTTAAACGGCAGCAATTAGAGACTTCATCTACTTCCTGAGTTTCCTTGTGACATTTCTATTGTTTACTCTCAATAAACCGGAGGGAGGCTTAGCGGGATTAGAGCTGGATAAAGTGGGTAGTGAAAGGGGAGCTGAATGGGGTGGGGTGTGTGTGCAGGACACTCGGGAGAGGGAGCAACTTGGGGTGAGTATTGGAGGAGAAGGGATTATGTTTGCCTTTGGATGTGTCACTCCCGGACCCGCGCTTTTGTCCTCTGTTGAAAGATCTGTCTTCAGGTCCTCGGTGCTGATAGGGAGGCTTAGCACACAGATGAGTCTTGGGCTGTGGAAAAACTCAGGGAACTGTGAAAAACGTGTTTTTAAACTGAATACTTTGAAGTAAGTGCCGACTTAAAAGTAAAATTAAAGAGAGAAATTAAGAGAAGCTTCTAGATACCGTGCAAAATTGGACCTCCTTCCGTTATTGCCATAGTACAAAGTACAGTATTATTGAAGTCTTTTACCTGTTTTGAAGTTGTTTGCAGAGAAGCGCTTTTCGCACCTTCACCTGCATCTTAATTACATTTAGAAGCAGATGTCAGGGTTCACTGGAAGGAGGGCGGAATGACATTATAAGCCAGAGGTTAGCTTGTCTTATGTAACCTCAGTCCAACCTAATTTTGTGGAGTTTGGTTTTGTTTGTGTGACTGGCTTCAAAGTATGTTTAACACTGTGAACCTGACAAAAACAATCAACTTATGTCAGAACTTTATTTCATTATTTCCTTTTAAAGAAATCATTGTTGAGACATTTCAGAAAAAGCGGTGTGTGAGTGGACCTGGGGAGGTTTTGTGTTCATAGCAAAGAGTGCGGGGCATTTCAAAGCCCGGAAAAGGATTTATATCCTGGATTGTCGTAGTTTCATAGTCTTACTGGAAAGTAGGCTGTAGAAATGCATTGCCAATTGGGTGTGCTCTGACGTTTACTAATGGCTTTCCAGGCTACACTAAGTATGACATTGTTGCCACTTGAACATTTTGGCCCAGACATTCCACTCTTACCTGTGCATGTTGTATTATATGCCAGCATTGTTTAGGCATTTGAGGATCCAGTAGCCAGCAGGGAGCTTTCATTTTAGCATGGAGTGGCAGGCATAAACAGAAAGAGAGAAGTAAACAAATGAATAATAGATGACAATTTCAGGTGTTGCCAAGTTATCAGAGAAGTTTGTTATCTTGGAGAATGTCTGCTCTAGGTTGGTATTGCTTTCTCCAGCCATGAGGTCAGGGCAGGTCTCTGAGGAAGTAAAATGAGAGTTGAGATCAGACCGCTCGCTGAGAAGATGCTAGTCTGGTTTTTGAATACTCGAGAAGAATTGAGGTCATATTTTTAAGAGTAGGTTTCTGACTCTCTAGCAATATTGAATACTCTGAAGAATGCCAGGGAAATAGCAAATAAGTAGGTAGACTTTTAAAAAGACATTAATTCAGATCCCACCCTTATGATTGGAGATAGGGCCCTACTTCTTAAAACAACAGTAATAATTAAATACAAATGAATATCAGCTTTGCATACTTGATCCTCTAGCATGTAAATATTGGTAGAAATTTTCTAGTGGGTTTTCTTCTTGATAAAATTAATCTTGAAATCTAAAAATGCCCACTATTGATATTGATTTTTTTGCTTATAAGATACAATGTTTTTTTTTTTTTTTGTACTGTTATGCTACTGTCCTTTTTGTTCTCTTCTAAATTTCATACTAAAATGTTACTGAGAAATCCTGGACAGCAGACTGAGAAACTATATGTATACATATATCTATGTATATGTATATGTGAGGAACTAGATATGGATATATCTATATCCATATACAAATACTTCTGGGTTTTTTCGTGTGCTACACAATATTAAGGGAATTGCCAGGTAGGATTTTAGTAGGTTCATCATTTTCTGGGCAGATTAGTGGACTTTAATTATTTCATAATTCTAACTGGTGAATGTATCATAGGCACAATTCTTTGTTGTACCCAGTATGTAATTGGAGGTAGAGAAAATGACCAGTCTAACTGTTGGTTCTTGCTGTTAATTTAAAACCAGGCTTGTTAAAGTTGGGGGAAGTTGAAAAATGTTAAAAGTTGGGGGAAATGTGTCAGGATTTGAGGCAATTCAGTGTAGTGGGGAGAGCCGGAAGGTACAGTCAGAAGCCCCTGATTGAATTCCTGCTTTCTTACTGACTGGCTTTGTGATTTTGGTGTAGTCCCTCATCCTGTCTGTGTTTCTTTAGCGATAATGGAATATGACTGGAGCAGGTAGTCTTCAAGGGCCTTGTGTGGTCTGCGCGCAGTTGTTCAGTTGGCTCAGGTGTGGAAGATACATAGCTAATATGTTCTAGATAACTCAGCATATGTTCTGTATATTCTTAAGGTGGTGATGGTGGGAGGATTAGAATGGGACCTGTCTTAATAACAGAAAAGACCAATGATGTGATTACTTATTTTGAAGTAGATAAGTGCAAAACAGGCTTTTTTAAAAAAAAAAAAAACGTTGTGATGGTTTACATATATTTGGCTCATTGGTGTTAAGTTGTACGAATTTGGTAAAACTTTCTGTTCCAAGTTTAAGAAAAGTAGTGATGTTTTGAAAGTAAGCTCAGTAGGCTGAAATAGCCAGCATAAGGAACATATCCGTTGACAGAGTTTTAAAACTGGAAGGGGCTTAAGAGGTCATGGTACATGTTCAGCCCTTTGTTTTACTGATGAAGAAACGGAGGCTTCTGGAAGGAGGGAGATTTGTTCAAGTTCATAGTTGAGCTGGATCACTGCATTGCTGGGTCACTGTTTCCCCACTTTAGGGCAGATTCCAGCAGTGCTCTCAGTTCCTCAAAGCTTCAGTTTTTTCTAACTTGCATGAAGGGAGTTGAGTCCCTTTCTGGATTCAATTTGAATCATGCAGCTTTCTTGCTGACTAATGGGCCATGATGGTTTTCAGAAAAATACTGCTTACTCTTAGTTCCCCTCAGCTCACAGTTGAATAGATAATACATTTTGCAATACTTTCTTTTTCATTTGATGCTTCACAAAATGTATTTTTATTGGCTCTCTCAACCAAGGGTTTTTAACTTAGGGTCCACAGATGGAATTGAGGGAGTCCTTGAACTTGAAGGAACTAAAAAAAAGCATCTCTATTTTCACTATAGGCAAACTGAAATTTAGTATTTCACTCAGTTATGAGTATAGGCAACAAATAGACCTACTGCTAGAGTTGTTATTTCATGCATTGATACAGACGTACATATATTATTGTATCACAATTTAAAACTATCTTGATAACTCAGTATAATTGATTTCACTTATAATCCTTTGTATTTTATTTTTGTGCTCTTTAAAAACATTTTTTTCTGAGAAGGGCTCCGTAGGCTTCACCAAACTGCCAAGGGGATCCTTGATGCAAAAAACAGGTTAAAAACCTCTGCAAATGAAGGTTATAAAAATGACTGAAATGAAATATTTTAATGGAAACTGACCAAGGTCTGCAAAATGCTAAAAGGTCAGAGGTACCTGGCTTTTTTCCTTTGAATGGTACAGCATTCTATCAGATAAGATAGAGGACTGTTGCTTGAAGAGTTTGTGGTCTTTTCGTTTCTTTTTTAAACGAGCAGCTCCCAATTTGTACATGCTGGTTTTGTTTTAACCTTGGCATTTTGCCTTGACTACCCTTCCCCTTGGTAGTAATAAGAAACCTTAAAATATACACTAACACTCTTCCTTTTCTCATCCTCCTCTCTAATTTGGTACCAAAGACATCAAATACTAGTATCCTTTATAGACTAAAAGGCCTTTGAACTTGTTTTTTTAAATAAAACAAAATCTTTACTGTCCCTCAGCGTGTGGGGCTATCTAAAGAGCTCAGATCTGTTTGTGTAGATGGAGTATCTAATTCTGTAGGCTATTACGGGTCATGATGTTACTGGCTTTGGGTTGCTATATTTTCCTTTACTAACTTTAGCCTTGTTTGGAGTGTGTGGCTGTCTGTGTGGTTTCGTGTCTGGCTTTCTCAGATATGTTTCTCTCTTTAACCTACAAAGACTGAAATCTTCATTAGTACTTTTCATTTTTGGTTGTATGTCATCCTGTAATTGATATTTAGGGAACTT